TTCGCGCGGGGAACGTTCCGCAAACAGGGATTAGCCCACATGACATTCATTGTAGGATTGACTGGCATTCCCCTCCTCCCGCATCGTCTCGTTTTTTTTATATTTTTTGTGTGTGTAATCGTCGCTTCGTTCATAATTTGATATATATTATATTTGTCGTTTGAAAGGTGAATAACATTTTCATCGACTCCTCGGCGTGTTTTCGCTAGCGAATCCACACTAGACCATTCGCGACTTGGGGGCCGAACCGGGATAAGTGAATTCATATAACAAGTGGCACCCTGATTCTTAAGTCCAACCTACCCAGCATGTTTTTTACTACACCGTGTGGAGCGTTTGCCGACACATGGACGACGAAGCGGATGGTGTCGTCCTTTACGAAACCATTTTCAGGATTTATAAGATGACCACACGTTAAGAATTGTGAGTATCCCCAGTCATCCTCCTTTGGATAGAATGTATGTGTTATCCGTCGTGAATGGTCATCGAAACCTTCTATTGACCAAGAACCTTCAGAGCTATGCAATTCCTAAGCGACAGCGTCAGAGTAACCATTACACTGCAGGAAAAACCCTAACGTTTGTTCGGTCGTGTACCCGTACCAATTCTGGCCGCATCCCTCGGTATCGCCAGGATCTTCCATGAAAGCCCGGGTACAAATACAGGTCAGAACAGGCTAAACCTAAAAAGAGGAAAACAGAGACCTCAGAGGACCACCCTCGAGCCCGAAGACAGGGTATACATGAGATTGCCCGCAGAAAAAAAGTAAAAGTACGCATCCAAAATTGAGCCTTTGACTGGAGTGGGCCTTTTAGAGTCCTCGAGGCTAGCGAGAACTCAGCTCTCATTTCTGAAATAGGAGAGAATTCAGACCCACAGAGAATACAGTTTGATTGCCTCATTAAGATTCCACCAGAAGATAGATGATACCCCTATCAAATGTCGCACAAGACGTGGAAAAAGAGGCAGACCAAAGAGTCATGATTATACTGATTCATGTAATTCAGCATAAATAATTGTCTTTCCAGGAGGGACGCGCCAGAAGTCGAGGACTGCTGTTCAGTTGACTTTCGTTGTCCAGGCAATACGATACAGCATTTACTGTCCAGATTTCCTGCACGTCGATTTCTCTCGGCGAAATCATACCAGATGCTCCCGTCCCACAACTTCCTATTCAAACTGTCTTTGAATTAGGTCGTGCTCTCACCATCATCAGAGCTACCCACCTTCCCAAGGAAGTCGTCTGGGCTAACCTTCTCTCTCCCGAGTATGTCGCCTTAGGTGTTCGTGAGCTGGCACTCGCGATAGCTTTTATGAGGACGAGGTGCGTCCACATCATGTTGGCTGTCACGAAGAGGATGACTAGTGTTTCGAGACATCGAAAAACTCTACGAGGACGCATTCGCTCAGGCTATCCAGATCACATGGAAACACATGGATGCAAGCTCTGGAAAATAAGTTAATCCTTCTACCAGATGGTTTTCAGCCGCAGTGTGCACCACTAGAGTATCCCACTCAAGTCACACGTCGCTACCAAAAGCCAGAGGACATTAAAACAGACTGGTCCGAGGACGAGCTATCAGCAGTTATTCTATTCACGGAGCCGATTTTCACACGTCTCCCACTGGCTACCAGCTGTTCGTAGCATTCTCAGTGCCGTCGCTGCTGGCGCCGAATGGATAATTGTTCCTGGGCTGTACACAGATAAGGAGTGGGGAAAAACTGTGGATCAGGTTCGAGATATAGCTGAAGGAACAGTTATATCATGTGATGCGCTGAAGCCGAGAATTAAAATTTTGCTGCCACAGAACCGCAATCAGTGGTCAGAACAACCATGGTGTAGCCTGGGAGAACGCCCCAGCAGTATGCCTCGATTCTACTCCGCAGGTCCGGCAAGAAGATTTTTGAAGCTACCTCAGACCGCTTCGGGCCGTACTTTCGAATAAAGATGATTCAAAC